ACTAATGACTCATGTTTCCCCACCCAAGCTCTTTGGATATCCAGTCATCTCTGGGTACTGAATAGCATGAACTGCCCATATCCCCTCTGGGTCTTATCAGAAACTAGTTATTTCAAATGAGTAGATATGATCTCCCCAAACAGACCACAAACCCTATGAGCTAAGAGATCAGAGAATGTGTTGGTCACATTGCCCAGATCCGGCCTGCAGAACTAGAAGGGCAGATTGAGGCGCCCTCCATCCCAGACGGAGCCAGCGATGCCTTCAAGGATGTAGGGAAGCAGGAGCCTCCTGCCACAGAGACACACTTGTCCCCCAGGGATGTTTTCAAAAGAGCGCACTCACTTGCACACACACACACACACACACACACACACACACACACACACACGTGCATGGGTCCCTGCGGACACCTGTGCTATGTGCTCCTCTCTGAGCCCAGCTAATGAGCCGGTGCAGCTGGAATCAGCCAGAAGGAAGGCTGAGAACTGCTGCTCAGTTCACCCACACTTCCACTTGGCCAGGACCTACTTAACCTGTCCCCCACAAAACCCCCGGGGTCTCCTTGCCTAGACACATGCCACACCACCAACTTCTTGGTACCACGGCTGAAAACTGCCAAAGCCCTCACAGTAGTCATCTGTCAGGCCCTTCTCCTGTAATCTCTCCACCACCTCTGTGTCCTCTGGTTGCCCCACACATGGACCATTGGTTACTACAACTGCCTTCCTTTTTCTTCTCCACAGCGGGGTCTCAGGGTCTCACTATGTTCCCCAGGCTGGCATCAACCTTCCGGCTCAGTCATGCATCTACCTCAAGCCTCTGCTGGGGCTGAAGCTACCTACATAATTCCTTATCTGCATTCAGGCTCCAACTTGTACCACTGGGGTGTGAATCTTTCTCTGCACCTGCAAGGCCTGGCTTCAAACATGATTTCCATGAATAAATCCTTCCCTGGGCACACGTCAGAGATAACTCATTGGTATTTGGACAGAATGGATTCGTGAAGAATAGGGGAAGGAGGGAGAGAAGAGGGAGGGAGAAGGAGGGAGAGAGGGAGAGAAGGGAGGAGAAGGAGGGAGGGAAGTGGGCTCCAATTAGGTCCTTATGCACACTTTTTTTTTTCCTTTTTGGTTTTTTTTTGCGACATGGTCTCATGTGGTCTAGGCTGCACTGGTGCACGTGTCCCTGTTGACACTTTTTCTCTATGGCCTCAAGCTCTCTTTGTAGCCAAAACTGGTCTCCCGCCTTCACCTCCCATTCTAGAATGAAAGGCCTTGGCTTTCACGACTGGCTCTGGCTAGTGGTTCTTTTCCACACAGGCTGGAGTACCCGTTCTCACCCTGTCATATTCCTCACCTTGGCCGTCCTACCCCCAGCTGAGGTGCTCAGCTCCATTCCCCCACCCAGTCTCCCAGCTCCTCTGCTCTCCCTCCTTTCTGGCCCCAGATGCCAGAAAAGAGTTCCAAGCCCTCTTCTCTATGCAGCATTCCCTCCCTGGTCCCATGGACCAATCTCTTGTTTCCTAATTGATTCCACCATTATTCAAGTGTCAAGGTCTCCATTCCAGGATCCTCGTGGGTGCTGGAGATGCCAAGATGGGTGGGACATAGTTCACACTCTCAAGAGCTCTCAGTGAGCCAAAGATCTATGCAGGCAAGCTCAGCCCAACAGACAGGCAAAGGCCAGTAAGCAAGAAAAGACAGTTGGCCTGTGGCCAACCTCCCCCCACCCCCGCCCCAGCTCTGCCTCCAGGACACTATATCACAAGGCCTTGGCATGTCTTTTCCTCCAGACTGTTCTAAAATCATTTTGACTCCTATATTTAAACTCCTTAAAACTTAAAATCTTGTTGGCCTGGCCTCCTGACCCCAGCGCCTCATCACTCATGCACGTCGTAGGCACTGTGCTCTGACAAGGCAGTGGACCGACTGCCCGTCGTAGACCTTACGTGCTATCTCTTGACCTTTGTCTTTAGGCTCTGATTCTGTTCATAGTGCCCATCGCCACCTGGGCCTCCACAACTGGGTCAGGGGCTCTCTAACCTATCTAGGCTATTTTTACCTTATCAAATGCTGGCAGCCACTGAGTAATGACTGACTACCGATACCGCTAGCGAGGAAAAAACAGGCACTAAGCAGAGTCCCTTCTATTTGTCGCCATCAGGGATCCGTTCACCTCCAATCCTAGCTCCTCAAACAGGGCCCAGAGTAAGAGATTAGCAAATCGAGCAAATATGTAACATGCACCCACCTATTCAATCTTAAAAGAACAACTATGAGGTAGTGATCTTTATGGCCATTTTGGAAATAGAGAAACAAAGGCATAGGGGACTCTCATCACATGTCAGAGTTTACGCAGGTCAGGGTGTTGTACTGAGCCCTAAATCCAGCTGCTGCAGCCTTAAGGGAACAGGACTAAGTGAGGGCAATTGGATGATGGGCGCAGACCCAGAAGGGGCAGTTTTGACAAGGGTCTTGAGCTGAGACCGGGAAACAGGAGAGGGGGAGACCACACAGACTGGGGAGTTGAGGGTTCTGGAAACACTGGCTTAGACTGGAACAGGAAAAAGAGGGAAGGGAATGGACAGAAAGGAGCTCCAAGAGGCTGCTCTGGAGACCGACAGGAAAGGATGGGGAGAGGAGAGGCGTGGAGAAGGAGGCACCTCTCAGAGACACTGTCCAGGAGGTACAGTCCGCCAGACAGCCAGGGAGCCCTGGCTCTGAGCTCTCCGCAGAATGGTTATACGCACGCACGTATAGGGAAACCAAGGAAACGTGAAAAAAACGAGGCCAAAGCCAGAGGAAAGGACATTTTTCCAGTGACGAAAACAAACTGCTACCAACTTCCCCAATCTGAACTGTGGAATTAGAAACCGAGAGATTGTCTTTTAGGTCTGTGAGGAGGGGGCTGAAGGATACACTGCCTAGGTAAAGGAGGTATTAGCTACCTAGGGAGGGTTAGGCCAATGGAGACCTCTTGTCTGGAAGCAGACCTGGGGGCAGAAGGGCACAGGCTGTCTCAGGAAAGCGGCTGGGCCGGGCTGCCCTGCTTTATCCTGTTTCCTGTTTCACTCCCAAACATGGTATCCCAAACCTGTCCCACCAACTGCCCCCGTTCTTCGACCCAGTCTTCCAACATCCTGACCCTTGCTGTTCAACGTCTGCCAGAGAAACGGGGGCTGCTCCGGGTAATTCCACTGGCCTGGCACCTGGCCTCCCTAAAGCCCAACACACTCCAGGACCAGCCAGCCGCCTTGGCTGTCAGGCCCTGGGCTTGGGGGCTTGCTTGGCTGGTGGTAACGTTCTCCCTCTCAGATTTCTCCCCTCCGCCTCTCAGAGCAGCCCCAGGTGAGGCACAGCAAGCCTAGGCAAACTGAAGCGGAGAA